GAGTTGATGCATCAGAAAAAAGCGACCTGAGACTTTAGTATCAAGATTACACTAGCTTATAAGACAGAAAGAACATGACGTTTGGTGCAAACAAGGTTCTGTGAATGCCAGTGTTATGATAATACCTTTTCTTTGTCCGAAATACGATATTCTGATTAGGAAAATTTTCTGATTCATTGACATTTCAAAAACATGCATCTGGTGAGAAAATTAAAATGGAATGGCTAATGTATTCAGTCTGAACAGGAAATGTACATAGCTTCGCTTGAGTTTTCTTTGGTGATACGCATGGATCAAAAAAACCCAGTTTTCCATTGGTGGATTTTCAGACTGGTAACATGCCTCTACTCGGATTAGGGAACATTAAACCTCTGTGCAGACATGGACTTCTAAACGAAAAGCATTTGGACAAATTAATTTTAATATTGCAAGTCCAATTCCCAAAGATAAAAGAATATTGGGCACAAATGCTGAAAAGAATAGTTTCAACTATAAAGTTTCTCTCATCGCGGATTAGCATTTTTTGGTGATACAGAAGCACTTAATTCTCAACAGAATGGCAGCAGTCTTGAGATAGTTGAATTACTTGCTGAGTATGATCCTTTTCTTAGTTCAAATGTAGCAAAATGTGGTAATCAAAATCGAGTAAAATTTTTATATTTTCTTTCAACATTATGTGAGGAAGTAATGGAGATTATGAGGAGTAAGGTATTGAAAACCACAGTAGAAGAAATCATGGTAGCCAAATAATTTTTTTTAAATGTTGATTCATCACCAGACAGTGCTCATACTGATCAGACGACTGCAGTCTTTCGCTAAGTAGGAATATCAGATAATAAGGATGTTTTCTCACTTTCGCTCCTATTGCAAGTCACATTGGAGCAGCTCTTGCCAACATCGTCTTGAAATTCTTTGAACAAATTGGAATTAATGTAGTTCTACGAGGACAGTCTTATGCCAACGAATAGAACATGTCAGGATGATAAAAATTAATACAAGTACATATTATCAACATCACTCATTTTGCTCATTAAATTCCATGTGTTGCACACTTCCTTAATTTGGTAGGTGTATGTGCTGCGGTAAGCTGCAATGCAGCAGTTTCATTCTTCAGTCTTATACAAGAACTTTATAATTTTCTTTCAGGTTACCTCAACGTTAGTCAGTAATACTTCATTGCCTTAAAAATGAATGTAGGTGTGAACCTACACTGGTAGTTACAGAAACATCAGATACTAGACGGTCTGGCAAGAGCCGATGTCATAAAAGCCCTGTACAAAGGCTAAGGGCTACAGCTGTTTTAAAGAAGCTTTAAAGTTATTTCAGAAGATGGAAATCAGATGAATGACAAGCGTTATGAAGCAAACACTAAACTCAAGCAGCCACCAAAGTTGGAAACAGCTCTTTTGGCAGACTTCTGGACTGTAATATTAGAAAGATGCAATCAAATTAGAGAATCACCGCAGGTTTAAACACTGGGGCATAAAATAGCTGTTAAACTCCTTAAATCTCTACTGGATTTTCTGATGTCGCAGCGAGACCAGCTTGAAGTGTTGAAAAATAAAGCAAATCACAAGGTAGAAAATACTTAATGCCGTGGCGAACAAAAACTAACTTTCCAATTTAAGATGAATCACTAATGGCAATGTTGAAGATGTTGCTCTGCGAACAAGACAGAAGCTTAAGATGGAAATATATCAACCAATCATAAACAAGTTATGCCAAGATATTTTTCATCACATTTAAGCATATAAAAATGTTTATTCATTATTTGGTTTCGTTGTAGAATTTCCAACAGTGAATGATGACGATATTTCAACAACAGCAGCTAGGTTTCAGAAGTTTTGCGCAGATGACATCGAGCCTGGGTTTGTGTCAGAAATTCTTCTTTTCAGGAACTTTGTTTGGCAATTTGGAGAATCCAGGCACAAGCATGAACAGCAACAAGTTTTTGATATCTACACCCTTGTTGTAAATAATGGATTAACTCATTCATTTTCTAATGCTGAAATGGCACTACGGATTTACTTGTGTTTCTCCAAGATAAAGCATCTAAATAATGTACACAGATCGACGGTGGCACAAAAACGACTAGACCGACTTGTTCTCATGCAATTGAAAAAGATGCAATTATTGATGTTGTGGAGAAATTTATTTTCAAGAAATTTGAATTAAGGTAGCATGGCAAGTGTTTGAATTTTAATCGTTGTCAGTCTTGAAAAAAAAGATTGTCATTTTTCTCTAAGTTTTTCCCATTTTAAAGATATTACGGGCCTCGTTTTTCATGCAGCCCTGAGGCCTACAAAATCTTAATTTGACTCTGATCATCGTCATCATAGCCAATGTAGCTTGGCCGATTCGTCGGCAGTTCTAGCAAAGACTACTATCCATCAGATTCGTTGTGTTTAAAACCGTTGAAGTGAAAGTTAATGGATAAGAAGTTATCGAAAAGTGAAATGAGTTTCAAAGGTAATTAAAGAAAACATATATTCATAGAAAGCAGTCCGTTGAGATGGTTACATGCCGAAACTTGTACCATGCCACAGATAGCACACGTTTGACGAGGAGGTGGTCATCAAAGTCACCATCGAAAGATTCTTTATGAATGTTTTTGCTTTTGTTTTTTAGAACACTACTTGTCGTTTAAAGCACTGTAATAAAACGCTTTATCGACTCTGTGCGTCCGTTAGTCGAAAAAACACTTTTTCTTTTGTTCGTTAAAAAGCCCTTTTCCTGCAGGTTAGACACGAAAGACTGAAAGCTCAATAGAGCGGCTTTCGGTTAAGCCAAGCGCATTTTTTCACCGACACCGTTTTTTACCAGCTTCTCACTGTATGGCTGGCACGGTTAACTTCGGGTCCTGTTTAACGAACGGCAAAAACCCAAGGAAAAACCCGAAAAGAACGTTGCCTACGGCTGAGGCATGTCCAACTTGCACATGTAGGCGCGAATCAACCGTAGATGACAAAGATCTGTTTCGAAGCGCGACCGCTTAGCACTTAGGCTTGTGCTTAATCAGGTGTTTCACGGTAAATTTAGTTTGCGACCAGCCGTCCAACGGTACACGAATTTGGGTCGACCGTGAGGGTTGACGATGGTCTTCCAAAAAGGTGCCGCTCAAGAATTTTTCCTCGGGGTCAGATTTCGCCTCATTCGCCAAAAGTGAATTGACCATCGAGGGCATGCTCAACGGGGACCGTTTGAATACCAAGTTCCATTGTGTCATCTATGGCTATTTTCGATGAGTTCAATGATGACAGGGACAGAAACAATGGCTGGCAAACAGAAGACAAACAGTGATACGACTGAAGCTTTCGTCAATTGTGTTCTTCGTCCAATTTGACAAACAACGCGACTTGAAGCCGGTGATTAGTGGGCCCGAGAGGCAAGCGCGGGTCATGAGCTGGTAGCCCGCTTTCGATCACTGTCCACAGTGTTGATGACCTGGGTCGTTTGCGCTAATGGGCTTGTGCCCGGACGAAGACCGTGGTGGAAAACGACTCAGCTACCGCTTCGACTCATTGACCGATAGACAATATGGGAAAGCGCCGGGCGACCGAACCGTTGTACGCCACAATAGCCGTGTTAATCGACGGTCAGCGAGGACACGCGCCGTTTTCATCCGCTGACGTTCGAATCAGCCCTTCGCTACCGTAGACGCTAATTAAGCGGTTTACCATTACGGAAGCTGTCCCCCTCTGAACGCACAACCCGTCGGTCGGTCGTTCAAATGAAGGTCGCGCGAGCACGTCGGTCGCCACCGCCACCGATGGAACCATCGAGGTACGTGGCCAGAGGGGGAGGAGAGCTGACGCGGCGTGCGGTTGTCGTCGTCATGACCCACTTGTCGCCAAGGCGTGTGATGCCGGGGTCTAAAAAATTCCGCAAACAAGCCCTATTGACATATTTGTCGTAATTAAACGTCAGAAATGCTTTATGCTGTGCATGATTTATGTGCTTTCCCGTCCGCAGTACAAATTTCGACACGTCGTTGACAGACGAATTTGTCAAAACGCCTCGCGACATGTTGCGAATCAAGGTCTCGTTGGAACGTCGTAGACATCGTCATCCACCGTTCAGCCGGTTTCCACCGTCAATCAGCAGTTGTTCGGTGACATGGCCCCCTCTAAGGCGTTCGTCCATTGCGAGAACGTGTTTCCACGATGCGGCATCCGCCAAAATCTGAGCTTTGCGAGATCCCCTTTGCGTCCAGCAGCATTCTGTAAGCATTGTTTAATAAACACGATGTGAAACATGGTTCAAATGATAACAGATATAATAGAGGTCACTAAATGGACCTGCAAGGTCGGTGCTCAATAGAATTTCCAGGACAAAATCTGTCTTCCTTCAGGATCAAGATCACGTCAGTTTGATTCCTGTCGATATCACTTGTTGATAATGAGCTTATTGAATTAAAAAACTCTAAGATAACTTATCAAACTGAGTCAATCACTTGCCTTGAAAGAAATAAATTCTACAGTATGAAAATCTGTCAGAAGAAGACTAAATTACTTCATGAAATGGGACATGTGAGCTTTGATAAATGTGACAACTGAGGGGTAAGAATGCCAGCCACATTCACCCTTTGTCGACAACTATAAAGACGTGTTAATTCAGAGTCAGCTATCAACAGCAATGCATTTGAAAAATATTGAGAGCAATAGGCATGGAGTAGCAACATCTAGAGAGAACTGTCAGCAGCTGCGGAAAAAACCAAAAGGTAAAGAAGTTAACGGATAAGAAGGAGGGGCTTGAAAGTTAAGCGATAAGAATAATGAGAGAGAAGAAGTAAAGAAGAAAAACGATGAGCTGCGTTATGAATGGGAAAATAAAGGAAACACTAGAAACAAAGTTCAGTAAGAAGCCGGAGATAAGGTAAGGCAGAAAAAGGAAGGAAATAAAAAGAGGAAAAAGACAAAGAAGGCATAATAAAAATAACTTCATTAAAATAAGAAAGGAAAAAACGCAAAAAGAAACAGAATTAGTAGCAGAAGAAGAAAAGATGGGACAGAAGAAAGAGCTGATAAAGAATGAGAGGAATTGGAAGAAGAAGAGAACAGGGGTAAAACGGAAGGAAGGGAGGATGAGGAGAAAAAGAAGAACAGAAGAAGGAAGATACCGAAAGTTTAGTAGTGGTTGAAGAGTAAATCAAGGATCAGCAATAAACGAAAAAAATTAGACGGTGAAAAAAATGAAAGAAGAAACATTGGATGAGTACGAATTGAAAAAGGTTTGTAATGGAAAGAAGCAGGTAAAAAAGAACGACGAAAGGAATGAGCAAAAGTTGACAATGATTCATCTGCGATATTTAGGAAGGCTCTTATCGAAAATCGTCGTTAACAGCTTTATCATAGCATTGATCAATTGTGCAAAAGCAAATCAGAGTGCCTGACGACAGAGGCATCGCACTGTTTCATGATCAATCGGTAGCTCATTCCACCTGAATGGCAATTCCTTGAATGCTGGTCGAAGTCATCAACAACCATTCTACTGTCAACTAGAACCAATGCCTGTCAGAAGTCAGCAGTCAGCGTCCCTCTAACTACCAGCGCAGTTAAAAATCACGTCTCACAAAGTGCCCATCTATCTGCACGAGCAATTTTTCGTCGATCGATTGCAATGGGCATTACACGCCGCCCTTCATCCCAGTGGCAATCATGTATAGTCACTTATTCATAAGAAGAGAATGTGAAGGAATGTTTGCAGCCGTTGGAATGTCCGTCTTTTGTGATACGGCCATTTCTGGCGATCTGCTAATAGTGAAGAGCTGACATTCATTTCCGTGCCATCAGCCAGGAGTGCCATATATGAACGGCAGAGCCGACGACAACTGTGTGGCAAGCATTATGTGTAATTTTATGTTTCCTTCTCACAGAGTGGTAACTATTTATCAACATCGAAAGGAAGAAAGATGAGTGGCTACTTACTCATGGAAAGTTGTCTATGTATAATATGGCTTATGTATCATTTTTTTGAGAAATATGGACTTGTCCTGTAGACAAACTTGTCCTCATTGGCGGCTTTCTACAATTCGTTAAAATTTTAAAATCATTTGAATGTGTCACAAATTAGATTAATACTTATTAAAATTTTTTAATCATTCTCATTTTCTCACTTCAGTGATGCCAAGGATAGCCTTATAACGGCATTGCAAATTGAAGATTAAATCACTGCCATGACTTTGACCACCGGTGTTTAATATCCAACCAAAGAAATGAAAACCTGTGAAGCCCCTGAATGCGGACGGATAAAGAAACGTTGAAACGTTTCTGGCACGAGCTTCGTTGTTGAAGTGACGTAGAGTTACAGTAACTGACAATATTGGTTAAAACGAGTAGTCAGTAGAAACGACAGTTTTTCAGCGGGGGTCCTGAATAACGCAAAATCTTAAGTAAAATTATGCTAGAAAATGGAATCGCTGAAAGGAGGTAAAGCACTTTTTCTTGTAACTCTGTTGAAGTGCAAAATTTGGTTTTCTAATGTACGCGGAGTAATCATCATGACTCTAATTTATTTCATCTATTCAATAACTTTCCAAAGAAGTTTGCTGTCTCATGAGGCTTTGAAGTAAGGTCACAGCATCAGGGAAATATTTCACACATTCTTACAAGGCTAGAAAGGAGTTTTCTTCGGCGCTGTGGCAATTTCGGTCAAGAGAGCTTGGTTGGTAGAGCATGATGAATGTTTGACCTCCTAACTTCTGCTCTGAAAAGTCACTGGCACAGTAATTGAGACTCAGGGTACAAAACCGGAAGATGCACAAAGGTAGGCAGCGGTGTCGTGGATTCTAGTCTAGATTAGCACTTTAGAAGACCTATGCCCGAGTATCCCAGCTCGGCGTTAAATTTTCTCATTATCCGCTAATTTACTTGAACAGGGATTGTACCCCATTT